CACTTCATATCCCACTTAATGCTTAAGACAAAATACGCTTTGCTTTGCAAGTTACAATATGAAAAAGTGGGTATATAATTCAGTGGGAGTGAATAAGATATGATTCGGTGGGAGTGAATAAGTTAACGAGAATAAATAAGATTAATCAAAATGCATATTCTCACGATTTTTAACTACTTAACTTTAGCATAATACTTTAGTACTCATTTTGTATGTTACTTTATCATAGCAAACCTTCATAATACCATTCCAATCAACATTTGAATCGTCCAAAATAAATTTCTCCATGGCAATTTGTAGATTCTTAGTGCAATAGATGTAAACTTTGCTTCTGTGCTAGATTTTGGAACTACATTTTATTTTTTTACGTCTCTAAGTCAGAAGTTTACCAACCCCTAAGGATGTGCAATATCCTATGAAGTTAGCCTCCTGTAATTATGGAACCGACATATCAATATCTATATATAGTTCAAAAATCAAATCATTTTCTTTTTTCAAATAAATTCCTTTATACAATGTCTCTTTCAGATTGTAAAAGATTTAATGTGTTGCCCTAAGGTATAAATCATAAGGATGATGCATATATTGGGTTATCACACTAACAATATACGCAATAACAAGTATAGTATAAGATAAGTTGATCAATCTTCCCATAGGTATTTAATAGGATGTTTTTTAGGGCTATTTTTAAAGAACATCCAAGTTTATGATTAAATTTTAAGGGGCTCTTGATGGGCTTGCATCCTATCACTTTTGAAAGGTCTATCATGCAACTTTGTTTAGCAATAAACATTACAACTTTGATACCCAAAAGATATTTTAACTTGCCTAATCTTTGACTTCAATTCTTCAAACAATATATTTTCCGATCTCTCCATTCCAACTAAATTACTACGTGCATGCTGATGTCAACATACACTAGTAGTGTGAAACTCCACTTGAAGGATTGTGTTAACACATAATGTATAATCTCATCAAATTTCTTTGTATCCCATATTAAACATTTCCTTGATGAAAGTTCCAAAACCACATTCTTAAGGATTGCTTCAACCCATGCAATGCATTTTTTTAGTTTATATACCTTTTATTTTATATTTAAGTTGAATCCTGGTGGGACCTCCATGCAAAAAATTTTTTCTAGATCACCATGTAGGAAAAAAAATCTTTACGTCAAGTCATTTTATCTTTCAATCCTTATTAGCTGCATAAGAAGCACTCGAACAATATTCATTTTCAACTGGAACAAAGATTACAAGATAATCAACCCCATATGTTTAAATGAACTATTTGGTTTCTAATCTAGCTTTAAACAATATTAGTGAACTATCATATTTTTATTTTATAGCAAAAACTCATTTACATCCCATTAGTTTCTTCTTTTTAGCAACTTCAGCAATTGCCATGTATTATTTTTTTTTAAGGGCGTTCATTACTTGATAACATTATTCCAAATCATACTATTTGAAGTGTCAGACTATTTTAAGGATAGAAAGAGTATGCAACGTAGAAAGGAAAGACTGATGATTATGAGAGTCGTTTTGTATTAAAAAAAGTGTAATGAATGTTTAAAGGAAGTCATAGTACTTTTATTTGTAGGCTCAATGATTCTCTTAACTAATTCAATTATAAGGGTTGATTTGATTGACTGCACTTACATAAATGAAGATATTTTTCTTCTCGAGTAAATCAATAATATCCTAGTAAAAAGTGATTATGTTATAAAATCAATTTATCAAAGAGTGACCAGCTCGAAATAGAGTTGTTTGTTAGAACAAATGATAAGAAAGGGCAATACAGAAGAAAATTTTATTGGTACATAAGATTTCTTTCTTAGAATTAATAGCAACATAGTAATAATCTGCTTCATTGATAGCGACATCAATGGATACAAACACTTAACTTGTGAGAAAATGATAGCATTTTGAATGAGAGAATAGCCAATGAAGATACATTTGATTGTTTGCTTGTGGACCAAGTTTCCTAACTTGGGCATGGGCATGTGTCAAAACAATAGCAACACTTCCAAATATTTTGAAAATAAGATTATTTGAGGTGTTGGATTGAAAACAGAAATCAGCTAGAACTTGTATAGGACTCTTCAACGAAAAAAAAATCCATTAAAATTGCTTCTACATAATATTGCTTTTGGAACATTCCTTCAGCAGAAAGAGCTATTCTGATAACAAGTGGTCATTCATTCATTATCACTCCATTTTATTGGAGCATATATAACCACAAAGACTCGTATATTATCCATTTTCGTGGAAATACAAGGAAAGGGAATGCCTAAAGTAGTATTTAGCATCGTCGGGTTTGACTCTAACTTCAATATCAAAATGTTTTTTGGTCATGGTGAAAAAGATGTGAAAGATGTTACTTGCATCTTTTTTACTTTTAATAAAAAGATCCATGATATAAGGGTTCAATAATCAATCAAGGACACAAACCACCCAACCCTAAAGATATTAAGTGTAGAGGATAATTCCCAGATTTCACTATGAAGGAAAGAAAATGACTTGGGGCTCTTATGCCACTTATTGCAAAAGTAGTTTGTTTTAGTTTGCTAACTCACAAAAAATTACAATGAAATTCTCAAATATTAATTTTCGAATAATAAGAAAATATAACTTTGAGAATAACTAAGAATGGATGATCAAGACATAAGGGTTGTAGCTGATTTTTTTACTTTATTGAATTTAATGATTTCATAAATAAAGGATACTACAACAAATTGTGTAGAGCTTCCTTAGTTATTAGATTAAGCAATGTGGTTGAGACAATCACCTTTCTTTAAGATATTCAGTAATCTTCCCCGTGCTCTATTTTTTTGAAAAATATAATCCAAAAAAAAAAAAAATCAACACTGCATATAAAATTTATAGTTAGCTTTTAGAAGTACATCATCGGTAGGCAAATAATTTAACCATTCATTTTGGATCCCAAGTCATTCACTAATTGGAATGTCTTTCAACGGGCAACAACCATCAAGAATCCATCATCAATTATTTTCTTGTTACTACAACAAGAGCATATGAAATGAATACGTAAAGATTTAATCGTATGGTATGTAGCTCTTGAATCAATAATCAAAGAGCTAAAATTGGGTTTCCCTGTGTGTTTAAAAGCATAAGAAGAGGGCATAATATTTATGAATACTAGAGGATAACCTTCTTCCATATGAATCTTTTCTAGAGACACCAGCAAGTTTTCATCTTTTTAATTCTTTGGGAAATCCAATAAATGATTCCTTGTTGGTCCATTATTTCATGTGTGTTATATCCATGTTTATGTTCATTTCACTATCATTTTGAGTTTTCCTGTTTCTACAAAGTAGCTTGCCAAGAAGCTTCTAGCATCATTCGTTTATATGCAGAGCTATTTTGCAATGTATTCAATTTAGAGAATCTCTCCTAACATTGTTGGTTGGGTTTGGCTTCTTATATTTTCTCAAAAGAAGAGGATCTTGAGTCTGAGTGCTTTATGTCAGCAGCCATTATCACTAAAACTAAACTTTTCTTTGGGTCGTTGATAATCATAACTCCTCCCTTCCTCAATCTGAATAATAGTGATGCCTTTATGTAGTGAGGATAAATTCTCTATGTAAGGGTTTGTAGCTTAATAACATCAAACTCAAAAACTAATAAACCAAAAAAATTATAAATTCAATCTTTCAATAATCCTTTTAAGAGAGCCGGATCTTTGTTGCAATCCATTCCGATACATTGATAATAAGGTCTCTTACCACAAAAACCTGTCAAGAGATTGGAATATTATATGATAAATTATCCGCATCACATATTTAAATGTACATGCGATTTATTGTTGAAAGATCTAGAAAATAATGATGATTATATTTCATATTTGTTATAACTCTATATTTAGAGGGTTATAAATTGTATAAGGGATCTTGGGAATCTCTATTTATTTTTCTCCTTAATTAGAGAGATTAGTTGCCTCTT